CCAGTCCTTCAGAAGGTACTACCCATCAGTGAGGCAAAAGGCCCAAGAGAGAGGATAAACTGTGCTTGAGACTATGTCTATTCACAATTATTGGTTATTACCAGTTTTAAAACAAAAGTATCAAAAACTGATTAATGTCCTAAAGCTATGCTTAAACTACAAACACAAGTTATGAAAATGTATTTTAGCAGTATCTTTGCAAAGATCCTCCTCTCATTCACAACCACTGTGAGGAGCTGTCCTAAAATAAATAGAAGCAGGTCTCCGTGCCCCTCACCACACGAAGGATTCACACTGACTTCTGTGAAGTTAGAATTTCATATATACCCAGCCTCATCTACATCAATGGAAAAAAATGTTACCTACACTGGCAACTCTATTTTTAAACTCTATCATCTTGTCTATGCATGTGGTACATATTAATCATTTTGTACATGTATGTATTCTTCTCACTTCACAGAAAAAGTTTTTAAAGTCTAAGAACAAGATTAAGAATTAATAAAGGCTTCAGCATTTAGAAAAAGATAAGTTAGATCCATTCTTCAAATCATATAAGAAAATAATCTCAGCCGGGCGCAGTGGCTCACGCCTGTAATACTAACACTTTGGGAGGCTGAGGCAGGAGGATTGCTTGACCCCAGGAGCTCAAGACCAGCCTGAGCAAAGCAAGATCCCGTCTCTACAAAAAAACTAGAAAAATTAGCCAGGCATGGTACCATGTGCCTACAGTAGCAGCTACTTGGGAGGCTGAGGCAGGAGGATCACTTGAGCTCAGGAGAATGAAGCTGCAGTGAGCTATGATGATGCCACTGCACTCTAGCCCGGGTAAACAGAGCAAGGCTTTGTCTTGAAAAACGACAATAACAAACTAAAACTGAGGGAAAATGGAACAAATAAACCCAACAGAATTTTAAAGGAAAGGGGAAAAGAAGCAAGCACAGTATTTGACTTTATTTCCCCTTAGGATAGAGAACTGAAAATACATCCCAAACTCTTTTTAACAGGATTTTTCTGAAATAGCATGAGCAAAGCAATTTGAAACTATTTTAGAAATATTACAGGAATGAGCAAAAGAGTAAATGTGTTGATGTTGATAGGAACCAGGGTCCTTATTGTGGAAGAAGGTGTATATAAATATGGTATGGCATAGGCAAAAAAATCCATAAAGTTAGACTGTAATTTGTAGTATATGTGCAAATTCACAATTTCTAAAATATTTATCTGCACTTATATGTGCACACACACACAGTATGTAGGAATACATGCATGGGTACTTGCATATGCACTTATGCACATTTTGTATATATACATATATATATGTTTCCTGGCTTGTCCACTGAAAGGGTCTAGAACCCAGATCTTGGTCTTTAATACCATCTCCCTACTTAAAATAAAGAAGGGTTCCTTGGAGAAATGACTGATGCCACAGTTTGAACAGGTAGAAGAGAAGTGAGAAAGTAAGGAAGCGCTCAAAACAAACAAAATA